AGGTAGGCCAATCCGGCAGCCGCGTCGACGAAGAGGCGCACGGCGCTCCGCTCGTCGAGGCGCCCGGCAGCACTGGAGCGCACCAGCGATCGCAGGCTGCGGCCCGCGATGTCTTCCAGCACCAGGGCCACGCACGACGGCGATTCCAGGAAATCTAAAGCAGTGATGATGTTGGGGTGCTTCAAGTCGCTGAGGAGGGCAAACTCCCGCCTCGCCAGGATCGCCTCGCCCGCACCACGGCGCCGCATCGCCTTGATGACCACCCGCCTGTTGTCTGAGAGCCTCACAGCTCGGTAAACAACGCTCGACGAGCCCATCCCGATCCGGTCAAAACTTGCAAAGTTGGCGGTCACGTTCTCGCACCTCAGGTGATCTGGCACGTGGGCGCCCACCCCGTCGGCCAGCTCGACGGCGGGATCTCGATCTCCTGGCTGCCCTTGTAAAGGGCAGAAAATCCACCCCGATAATAACCACCCCGACACGCGAAGCCGTTTAGCAAACGCGCCCAAAGAAGGAATCAAATAGGGCAGGGCTGTTTAGTTAACGCCCAGGGCCGTTTCAATCAACGCCAACTGTCGGGTCAGGGTGGCTTTTCCCCCCTCGAGACCCCTCGGTCGGAAGAAGTGAGCGGATCGCACCATGAAGCAGCAAGGCGCTGGAAGCAGATTGGGCGGGCGGGAGGGAGGGAGGGAGGGAGGAAGGGAGGAGGAGGAGGAGGAGGAGGAGGAGGAGGAGGCAGGAGGCAGGAGGAGGAGGAGGAGCAGGAGAAGGAGGAGGAGGAGGAGGAGGAGGAGGAGGAGGAGGAGGAGGAGGAGGAGGGGGAGGAGGAGGAGGAGGAGGAGGAGGAGGAGGAGGAGGAGGAAGAGGAGGAGGAGGAGGCAGGAGGACGAGGCAGGAGGAGGTGGGAGGAGGAGGGGGAGGAGGAGGAGGAGAAGGAGGAGGGGGGGGAGAAGAGAGGAGCACTCGACGACTGGAGCAGGGCGGCGCAGCTCTCACTGTGAGAGCGGCGCCTCCCTGCCCCAGTCGTCGACGGGAGCACCGGCCTCAAGCCCTGCGGATGCGCTGGCATACAGTCGTGCCGCTGAAAAAAGGAACGCTAAATGATGAACGAAGCCCCTTCTTGGCCCTGTAAACGCCTCCGTGCCCCAGGAGGGCAAGAGGAACAGCACTGGAGAAACCTAAGGAACATCGAGCCCCTTCCGAATCCAAATTGTTCCTTATTTCAGCGTCTTGACTGTACGTCGTTTCATCTCGCTTCTGCCCGCGCCCAACAAGGAAATCAACGCGCGCCCGTCCAGGGGCCGCCGCGGACCGCGGCCCCCGACACTCTCCAGAGGCGCGGCGGGTTCGGTCCCGATTGGCTGGTAATCGGATAGGCGTAAGAGTGACCCTTAGTAAGAGTGACCTTTGGTGAGCAGCTTTTGGGGGCGCGAGGGAGCCAAACCCAAGGGCGCGGGCCGCTCATGCCGCATCGCGCTCGGCGATCGTGGGGAGCCCGATGAGCCCGCACCAAAGGTCACTCCGGAGGAAGGTCACTCCTACGTGTAGTTGAGGAAGGCATTGATCACAGGCGCGGCTCGGGCGGTTTTTCCTCCCCGTCTCGGGAGGAGGAGGAGGAGGAGGAGGAGGAGGAGGAGGAGGAGGAGGAGGAGGAGGATTGATCACAGGGCGGTTTCTCCTCCCTCGACCTTGGCGCCAGCTTGACCGAAACAGCGGCGGCACGCAGCCCGCCAGGAACGAGGCCCTGCGACCTCTCAGGGCCGAGCCGCGGTCCTCGCCGCCGTCGCCGGAGGACGCCCTGGCGAACGCCAGCACCTGGTCGCCCACGTCGGTGGCGGCCTGGTCCGCCCGGAGGGTCCCAAGGGAGGCTTCTGGGGAGGGGTGGAGACCAGCACAGGGGGCTGCCCTCCACAGGGGGAGGGTGGGCCCCGATTTCGGTGCTGAGGGTAATCTCTTGGCCACCCTGGAAGCCAGAATCATCACCACCATCGCCGATATCGGGATCTTCTTTCCCTCGGTGGAGGCACGCCGCCGAAATTGGTGTTGGTGTCAACCTCTAGGCCTGCAAAAAAAAGGTTTTCGGAGAGGGGGCTTTCCAGAGAGCCCCCCAGGGGCCTCGGAGCCTCGTCAAAGTAGGGGGTGCGAAGCCCCTGGGGGACCCCTGCTGGAAAGCCCCCTCCCCCCCAAACCCCCTTTGGACCCCTGCGGTCTGCTGCAGAAGCCGCGCTGACGGCCCATGAGTCGGCGGCGAACCCGAGGGGGGAAAGGCTCGGAGGCGGTTTCGACGACTGGCGCGGTGACGACGTCGACGACCTCGGCAACGATGCCGACGACGCCGACGACGACGCCGTCGTCGTCACCCACGGGCTCGGGAGCCGGCCGTCTCGGAAGGCTCGGCCCCCCCTCAGGCGCGCCGCCGAATGAGCGCATCCCCAGGAGTGGCGCGCCTGTGCCATCCCAGGGGCGGGGCGTGCAGGGTGCCCGCTCGGCCAGAAAAGCTGCGTGTGTCATGGCCATGGTGATGGTCGCGGTGGCGGCGGCGTTGAAAGAGGACTCTGTAGCACTTGGGGCGGCTCGCGGGTCTGAATGGGCACCGTCAAGATCGTGACGTAATCACGGCTATCATTTCACAGCACTGTGTTCTATGCCAACTGGTCACCAATGCCGATCGCGATGCACTGACATACAGTACAACCCGCAGTTCGGTTCCAGCCTAAGATGCGCACTCGGAAGTTCAATGGAAGTGCGAACGATGCTACAGCTTCAGGCGTGATCGGCACATGGTGTGTGCCTTTCGCAGCACCTCGTTCAGATGCAGCTCGAGAGCACGCGTGTGATCGAAAAGACACCTCCTCTTCCGAACTATGATGGCCCCGCGAACCTTCCGTATGGACACGTGCGGACAGATGACTATCCGATGCAGTTGGGCGCTGCTTACTGGGGGGGCGACGGATGGGGGGCGAAGAAACGGGCACCCTTCGTGCCATTTTTGGGACACTGTCGGATACTATGTGCACACTTGTCTCCAACCCCTCCATTTAATTCCGGGATATATTTAGGTATTGCCCGCCCGCCCCCCCGTGTTTCTCTCGGCGGGGAATGGACTCGCCCCTCAGCCTCCTACATTCTTTTTCCTTGTGGAATATCTTCTCCCCGTCGCACCCCGCGGCCAGTGCTTAGGGCGGCCCGGGCGTTTCGCCTGAGAATTCCTCACCATTTCTGATCCGTAAGCTTAATAATCGGCAGCAGCTTCACAGATGGAGGGCGGGTCGTTTTCAGCATGCTGCTCTCGTTTTAGCGCCGCGTGCAATTGCTTAAACATTTGCCAGTGTTTCGCGAATTGAGGGCGGGTCGTTTTCAAAATGTGGTTCTCGCCTTTGCGCCGCGCGCATTCGTTTTTCCCAACCATCCTGTGGTGTTGGGTCCTCGTTTTGAAGAAAGGGTCCCCGCGTTCCTGCTTCTCCTTCTCCTCCTCCTCCTCCTCCTCCTCCTTCTCCTCGCCCTCCTCCCTCCTGCGTTCGCATGCCTCCCCACCACCCATTTCGGCACACCCCTCACACGTTTCGTGGCCCCATAGGCTCCACCGAAGGCCCCAGTGGCTGCGTTCGCATGCCTCCCCACCACCCATTTCGGCACACCCCTCACACGTTTCGTGGCCCCATAGGGAGCTCCACCGAAGGCCCCAGTGGCTGCGTTCGCATGCCTCCCCACCACCCATTTCGGCACACCCCTCACACGTTTCGTGGCCCCATAGGGAGCTCCACCGAAGGCCCCAGTGGCTGCGTTCGCATGCCTCCCCACCACCCATTTCGGCACACCCCTCACACGTTTCGTGGCCCCATAGGGAGCTCCACCGAAGGCCCCAGTGGCTGCGTTCGCATGCCTCCCCACCACCCATTTCGGCACACCCCTCACACGTTTCGTGGCCCCATAGGGAGCTCCACCGAAGGCCCCAGTGGCTGCGTTCGCATGCCTCCCCACCACCCATTTCGGTGCACCCCTCACACGTTTCGTGGCCCCTTAGGGAGCTCCACCGAAGGCCCCAGTGGCAGGGTTCGCATGCCTCCCCACCACCCATTTCGGCACACCCTCACACGTTTCGTGGCCCCATAGGGAGCTCCACCGAAGGCCCCAGTGGCTGCGTTCGCATGCCTCCCCACCACCCATTTCGGCACACCCCTCACACGTTTCGTGGCCCCATAGGGAGCTCCACCGAAGGCCCCAGTGGCTGCGTTCGCATGCCTCCCCACCACCCATTTCGGCACACCCCTCACACGTTTCGTGGCCCCATAGGGAGCTCCACCGAAGGCCCCAGTGGCTGGGTCCGCATGCCTCCCCACCACCCATTTCGGCACACCCCTCACACGTTTCGTGGCCCCATAGGGAGCTCCACCGAAGGCCCCAGTGGCTGCGTTCGCATGCCTCCCCACCACCCATTTCGGCACACCCCTCACACGTTTCGTGGCCCCATAGGGAGCTCCACCGAAGGCCCCAGTGGCTGCGTCGCATGCCTCCCCACCACTCATTTCGGCACACCCCTCACACGTTTCGTGGCCCCATAGGGAGCTCCACCGAAGGCCCCAGTGGCTGCGTTCGCATGCCTCCCCACACCCATTTCGGCACACCCCTCACACGTTTCGTGGCCCCATAGGGAGCTCCACCGAAGGCCCCAGTGGCTGCGTCCGCATGTCCCCACACCCATTCTCGGCACACCCCTCACACGTTTCGTGGCCCCATAGGGAGCTCCACCGAAGGCCCCAGTGGCTGCGTTCGCATGCCTCCCCACCACCCATTTCGGCACACCCCTCACACGTTTCGTGGCCCCATAGGGAGCTCCACCGAAGGCCCCAGTGGCAGGGTTCGCATGCCTCCCCACCACCCATCTCGGCACACCCCTCACACGTTTCGTGGCCCCATAGGGAGCTCCACCGAAGGCCCCAGTGGCAGGGTTCGCATGCCTCCCCACCACCCATTTCGGCACACCCCTCACACGTTTCGTGGCCCCATAGGGAGCTCCACCGAAGGCCCCAGTGGCAGGGTTCGCATGCCTCCCCACCACCCAGTTCGGCACTCCCCAACACCCATTTCGGCACACCCCGCACACGCTTCGTGGCCCCATAGGGATCTCCACCGAAGGTCGGGGGGAGCTTGACACTGGTATCCTTGCGGTACTCGCAGCTGCATATGGTTGGGTCCTTCGCCAGGCTATTTTTTCATGTACGAGTTTCACGGATTGTTGGCTGCACGTTTTCAACGTGTGGTTCTCGCCTTAACGCCACGCGCATCCGTTTAAAAACATTGCACGGGTTTCACGGTTGGAAGGCGGCTCCTCTTCCAAATGCGGCTCTCGCCTTAGCGCCGCGCATATTCGATGTTACATTTTGCAAAACAGTTTAACGGGTTCCCAGGATCAGCGTACCAGAAATGGTGTTTTGGAGAAATTCTGGATTCTGAGGGTGCAGCAATTACGTTGATTCGCGGTGTTGAAGTCCCTGGAATGGCGTTCTGGCACGATTCCGGATCGTCCAAGCGCAACAGTCAGGTTGATCCGTGGCGTTGGAATCCCGAGAACAATGTTTTGGCTTGCCTCAGGGTCTTCAAACGGCTGTCTTCCAACGAGGCAGTTCCCGTACTGGAAATGAACCGCTGTAGGGGCCTACGGAGAGGGAGTCTGGAGGGAGGGTGTATTCCAATATCGTTGATAACTCTTGGGTTTACACTGGTCGTGCTCCTCCTCCTCCTCCTCCTCCTCGTCCTCCTCTTCCTCCTCGTCCTCCTCCTCCTCCTTCTCCTCCTCCTCCTCCTCCTCCCCTCCTCCTCCTCCTGCTGCTCCTCCTCCTCCTCCTCAACGTCCTCCTCCTGATCCTCCTCGTCTCATTCCTCAGGAGGCGGAGGAGGAGGAGAAGGAGGAGGAGGAGGAGGAGGAGGAGCAGGAGGAGAAGAAGGGATGGAAGAGGAGGAGAGGAGGAACAGGAAAAGGACGAGAAGCAAGACGAGGAGAGGAAGGACAGAGAAACCCTCGTGAAGGCCAGACCCTGGCGCATTCCGTCTCGTTGGGGGGTGGCCGCGAAAGGCCATCGACTCTTCTCGAAACCCTGGGTCCTCATCCAAAAGTGTAGCGCCGGGATTCTTCCATTCGGGAACTCGTCTGTTCAAAAACTTCGGATCGAGAGCTTCTGCTCGAAAACCGTTGCTCGAAAGCTTCTCCCCGAACCTTCGGACGGGAAATTTCCGATCGAACATTTCCCTTCCACGTCTGCATCGTCGTCGGCACCCGCGTCGCGGTCCACCGATTCGTTTTTCCCACTATTGTTCGCCGTGCTGCAATAATGTTGGGGGTGTCCTTCTTCCAGCGATTACTGTTCCCTGGGCAAGCCCTGCACGACAGAAACATTCAAGCACGGTTGCAGAAAGGATTGTGGCATAGATCGACACACTCGTCGCCGAAGGCGTGGCTCACAACATACGCCGATCGTCGTAATCGTAATCGTAGCAGTTGTCACGGTTGCAAACTACTCGTAGGCGTAATCGTAGTCTCATCGTGGTCGTAGTCGTACTCGTAGTCGTGGTCGTCGTTGTTGCGCGGCGGGTGCAGCGGAGACATAATATCTTCCACTTTTGGTGCGACCCCAATTCGTCAAACACGTCGCCGAACCATCTATTGGGGTGCTCTAGAAACCGATCGCTGCTGTCGCCATCCCATTGCTCAGCACCCGATGCAGAAACTGCAGTCGATTTCCGGCCAACCCGAAAACATGGCAACAATTTCGGCTATCTGCGTTGTGATCGGAACCCATGTGAAAACCAGCACGCGCCTGGTTCCTTTACCCTCATCTCCTTCTAAGTGAATGGAGGTGGCTGCGGCAAGTTCCCCAATCTGCCCCAACAAATCTAAAAGCCATATATATATGTGTGTATATATACAGACATTTCCACATACATACTAGAACCATCGCGCGCGCTTCGCGCGCACTCAGGTTCTAGCAGGCCCCAGGCCTTGACGAATTCACTGCTGCTCCACTGAAGTAGTGGATCACAGTCCACGCATGCAAATCTGCATTCCGAAAGGCCTTCGAGGAAAATGGTTGTGTAGGGGGGCGGAGGCCGTGAGAATCGGGTTCCCAGAAGGCCTTCTAGCAGCATGAGTTTGGGGCGTCTTGGGAAGCCTGTTGGGGCGTGCCGTCGTCGTCGTCGTTGTCGTCGTAATGTCGTCGTCGCCTATTGGGGCGCGCCGTCGTCGTCGTCGTCGTCGTCGTCGTCGTCGTCGTCGTCGTCGTCGTCGTCGTCGTCGTCGTCGTCGTCGTCGTCTTCGTCGTTTCGTCGTCGTCTCTTCGTCGTCGTCGTCGTCGATTCAAGAGGGCACTTGAGGCAACTTTGTGCGAAACGATCTGCGGAGGGCCGCGAGAAGGCGACCAGTCATGTTCCCAATCAACTTCCCAGACAGCTCTCCTGTAACATGATGGTACTTCGAAGCCTCCGGAGACTCGCGGGCCCATGATG